GGGGGGGGTGCAGCAGCAGCTGGACTGGAGGGAGCCAGAGCCAGGCTGTTCAAATACGGGACACCAGCATGCAGGCACACGCGTCCCGCGCGCACCCGGAGGGGGAGCGGCGAGGGGAGACCGACGGGGGTGTCCACGCGGCGGCGGGCGCCCCGCCCTGACCGCGCCCCGCCCACCCCCCTCGAGCAGCAGAGTGTGACCACGGCAGACGGCGTGGTTCCACCGCGCGGCGACGCCAGGGGCCAGGCTCCGACCGACCAGGCCCTGGGCTCTGGCTGGTCACTCGATGACATCACCCCGCATATATTTTAGTTAACCATCCACCACCACCACCACCACCCCTCGAGATCGTCGCCCCACTCGCTGTCTGGTAGGGGCGGAGGGAGAGGGCTGGGGAGGAGCCGCGATCCCTTCGCTACGGCTGTCTGTCCCTACCTCTTTTCCCCGGCCGGCCCACCATACCACGCCAGTCGAAGGAAAAGGAGGGAAGGGCACAGGGGAGAGAGGCGCGGGGGGCCCTTCGACCCCGTTCGTTCAGGCCGCCGCCCTTCGGTCGCCTAGCGACGCCTGGGCCAGGACAGCTGCGGCGGCGGCGCCCCCCCTCCCCCTCTTTTCCTCGGCGCACCTTAGGGCGTAGCAGCCACGGCCGCACCAGACGGCGGCGGCGCAGCCAGCAAAGAGGAAAGGCCACTGGCATCGCCTTTCCTCACTGAGTGGTCCTTCCTGGTCCGTCCCGCGCGCGCGCACGGGACAGCCAGCCAGAGCCAGGGTCACCCGCGACACTCCAGTCCGGCGAGGGCCGCGGTGTGAACCCACTCCGGCCTCCACGGCCTCCCCGCCGCCGGCCCCTTCGCGGCTCGCGCCAGACGTCCATGAGGGCGGCCCCCGGCCCCCTCCTCCCCGTCCCTCGCTGTCTCTCTCGCTCTCACGCTCCATACAGCAGCCGTCTCACCCTCTCTCTCTCTCTCTCTCACTCTTTCCGAGTCCGCGCCGGCGGCGGCCGTGGAGAAAGAGGCATGACGTCACTTTCTATTCGCGGCAACGGCTTTAAGCGCGGCCCCCTCGGCTCGGCCGTGCCCCTTTGCCTCCGGCACACCCCGCCCCGCTCCGCCCAGCGCTAACGCCCATCATTCCCCCCGTGGTCGGCCTGGCCGTGTTCCGTAGTACCAAGCCCCGGCCCCGGCGCTGAGCCCAGGCCCAGCCCAGCTCCGGCCCTTTGGGCTCTCCTGGGCTGGGGGGGAAAGGGAACGAATAGGGAGGGGAAGGGAGGGGGCGGGGGCAGTGAGTGTGGGGCCAAGGACAGGGGGAGCGTGGGGAAGGGGGGGGGCTGCCCCCCGAGCGCATACAACACAACGCACACTCGCGCCGCCCACGCCAAGCCCTTGACTCGAGTAGATTCACCGTATTAGCGTGACGCAATGACCCCGCCGCCTCTCATGATGATGTTGAACCAGACCGCGGTCAAAACTACCGAGGCACTTTGATGCCGCAGCGCACCGCGAACAACAGCGATCGAACCCGCAGACATTCCACCGAGGTTGCTTCCCCCCCGGGGGCCATTCAAGCAAAACCAAAGGGGGGAGGAGGAGACCTCGAAAGCGCCACACATGCAAACCTCCGCGATCTCTGTGAAATGGATGTTTCGCGGAGCGGGCGATGTGTCGCGTACCGCAAGTGCGGCGAGTTGGCGCAGGACGATAATCCCTCCGAAAAAGGGGGCCGAGAATGAATGGAGGGGAAAGAGGGGGTGGGGGTCCACGATGTCGGCGGTGCGACAGTCTTATTCAACACAAAGTATGGGAGACCCTTTAATCGCTCAAATGTGAAGACGCAGCACATAACCTGCAAACGTCAACCTTCCCTATCGTGGCGATGAGTCATCGCGTACGAATAGCCATGTACGGTCGTTGGGTTAACGAGAGAGTGACAGAAATATGGAACGTGCGTCAGGTATGTGATGACAGATAAGCAGAGGAGGGTGGGCGTTGTCAAAAGGTACCAAGGCAATTAGAGAATAAAAGGCGTACCTGAGCTTGAGGTCAGCGTTTTCCTCAAACAATCGTTTCGTGTCGATTTCAAGCTTGGCCTTTTCCTTGGCAAGCGAATCCAGAGCAACTCGTGTCTGGTTCAGCTCATTTTCATACATATCCTTGATGTTCGAGACCTCCCGGGTAGTGGTCTCCTCGGAGGTCTGGATTTGCCGGTAGAGTCGAGTATTTTCCTGTTCAAGTTGACGAACACGGTCAATGTAGGTGGCCAGACGGTTGTTCAAATTCTGCAAATCAGCCTTTTCTTGCAGGCGGCTCGTCCGGGTAGGACTTAAAGGGCTCCCCGGTCTCGAGGACAGACCGGGTGTGGATGTTGCGCTGCTTGTTGAACTCATGGAGGTCTCCACCACTTTCGTGGTACTTCTCTTCGATTTCGTCGCCATTTTAAACTTGAAACAGTCGCGTAATCACAAATACCCGCTGTCGGAACGGGGCCGAAAGTGTCGTGAAACCGTCGCCCGTCGGAGTAAATCACATTCAGTCACTTCGAAACAAGCAAATCGCACGCTCAGCACAACGGTCGGAGCTCAGGCACGCCTCGCTCGCCGGTGGCCGGGTTACGAACACGAACACGACTGCCGAAATTCGTGTTGCCGAAGCCCGATTCCGCCCCCTCGAAAATGCTTCGTTTTCCTTTCAGTTGTTTCAGATTACACAACTTTCTAAAGTTAGGAGGCACATAAATACCCATTCACGTCAACAACTGTATCCAAATTATACTCGCATTTAATTTTAATTGGAAGTCTGATTCTTTTTACAACCACTTTTGCAGCAGTTTTCTAGTCAGCGCATCCTATCCCACAAGTTGTTTTGTTAGTAGCTGTTGGTTACAACTACATGTGTACCAACCTTCTTTGTACCCATTTCCTTGCAAAATTGATTTTTCCACATTTTGTGTCCGTTTATTTTACTTATAAATGTATACATGCAATTTTAAAATAATTTATAAATCAATTTTAGTGTATGTCCTAACTTTACAACCATAACACTTTTCTGGGTTTTACTCTGGAAGTTGGTGGATGCTGCTATTTTTACTTACGCTGCCCTGTCAACCAACCTACAACGTCTGCTACTCTTCTGCTATGTTTTCATTTCGTTATGTGGAGCAAAACATGCTTTGCCTGCAGAATTTTCCGCGACATTCCGTGATCTGAGTGCTGAAATTCTTTGCATGTTTTACAAACATGCTGAACAGACTGTCGACGGTGCTGCAGAGCGCGGCAGACGCTGTAAGTATTAAATTTGTCAGGGCTAGAGGGAATCTATGTGTTTGTTGTGTCGCAGTTTCGTTTGACACGCACTTATTTAGTCTTTGGGTTAACTTCTAATTCTAAACGTCCTGCTAAACTATGTTTTACGATGCAGATCTAAAACATTAGTCACACAGAATTTTTGAAACCCAATTTCAGAATTGGTGCTGAATGTCAAAACGTCAATGTGTCAGTTGTAATCACTCGTATGTTTCCGAATTGCAGCTGGCACCCCCTCCACCTCCCCTGGAGGATTTAAAGTACCATTGGAAGATGGTCATGAGATTTTATGCCCAACGCACAATTCAGAGCAAGTGCCCCATAGAGGAAACAAATATTCCTTCTCATCTAGAACAACTTCTGAGGGTGAATAAATGTGGTGATTGTGACGTTAAAATTTATTCTAATCGAAATGTACAACAACTTTTAATATTGTTTTGGTGCAAACAGATTTTGATAGCCGAGGATGCTTGTACAAAAGCTGCTCCTGAAGGTCCATGCACTTCTGCTGGTCCATGCCTTGAATTCTTACTTCAGCATCGATTGTTAGAACTACTGGTGTCTCTTGCCCGAGCAGATTCACCACCAGGAATGAGGAGGTATTTACTTGGCTATCTGAAGAGACTTGTTGCTGCAATTTCACCCCATCTCTTAACTCTTGCCAGCATTCATCTCCCTCTTCTGGTATGTACTTCTCTTTAATAGCAGACAAGAATTTTATTCCTTGATTGTAACTTTTATCATTTACTTTTCTGTTGGTCAACAGCGAATTGTAGTCTTGTGTAGTCAGTCCAAAGCATCGCCAACTGAGGCTGAAGAAATTGAATTTTTATTAGCACTTTGTCAGATCATTCACAGGCAACCTTATCTCTCCATTATCTTCAATAAAGAGGTGAGCTCGTACTGCAACACTTAGGATAAACTACACAGAAAATTCCATCAGGATTCTGTAAAAAATAAAATAATGTGTATGATTTTCATCCTTTTTTAGACAAAAGCTAGTAAAGAGTCTGGATCTAGTAGCAGTGCCTGTAGTACAGTACCTGGAGTGAACTCACCAACCCAGGAACATTCCCCAGTTAAGAGTTGTCTGGAACCCAAACAGAAGGTGGATCAAGAAGATCACTCAGCTGAAAAAAATTATGCACAAGTTTCCACTGAAATTGGGAACTTGTCAATAATGTCAAGTTCAGATAAGGATAATCAAAATGAAAGCTCAAGATCAGAAATGGACAGTGGATCAAAAAATGGACCTAATGGAATTGAAAGTAATATCTCACATGCTGATTTTTTAAAAGAAAAAAAGAAAATAGACTGTTCCATTTTGGGAACTCCCATCCCATTGATAAAAGAGAGCAATGCTTTACCGACAATGCAAGAGAGAAATACTGATTCTGATACGGAAAAAACAGGGAAAGTTTGTAGCAGCCGGCAAGAGGAAGTGTTTGGTGATCAAAGTCGAACAACATCTGGTTCCTGTTCCCCAGAACCCTTCCTTGTAGAAGATCTCTCAGACACTGATATAACAGAGGGGAGTCTTCCCTTACTTGATGCTGTGCTAAGCTTCATAAACAGTCCTGTAAGCTGATATTATATGTTGCAGTTTTATCTACCTTAATTTAATTTGTAGTTTGTCTGTTATACACTACCAGAAACAATAAAATAAAATAATATCTCTTCACAGGATAGTGGAACGAAGCTACATGTGTGTGAAGCCATTCTTATGCTCGTCTCTGTAGCTGATGAAACATTTTCCAGCGCTGTTTCTCGCACCTCCAGCCTTGGTCTTGTAATGGCAGAAAAATTGACTTCATCGTTTCAAGAAATTCCTTCTGATACTGATCCAGATCATTTGGAGGATATTCCTCAGAATTGGGGGTAAAATCTTAAGAGTAGTGATAGCAAAATAATTCTCTCACATTGATGTGAAGTTTGCTTTTTCATTTTCATTATTCAATTTGTGTTTCAGTCCTAAAAGTTCCCAGTTATGGTTGGAGCATCATGCATTCCCTGGTTGTAGACTAGTTGCTTCCTTTGTATCATGGTTGAACTTCTGTGATCAAGTGAGTAAAAGTGGTTTTATTGATTAATCATAAACAAAAACTAAGAGAACCGCCAACTAGCAATATTCTTTGCTTTTTTTACTTAGCTGACTGTTGAGAGTCCGTTTGTGATTGCTGAGTCAGTAGCTGGGGCTGTGCGAGCTCTATTTTTTGAAATAGAATTAGAATCTGAACTGCGCACAGGAGACATTATGCGGCAACAACTTATCACCAACATCATTTGCTTAAGCCTGCGCCACATTTCTTCAAACATTCTCCTATCAGGTATGGTTTGGGACTGGCTTTATTTGGAACTAGTTTTCACGTAGCAATTAAGGAAAATCACTAAAAGATTCCAAAAATTGAATTTTTTTTAGAGCTTAATGTGTGGTTGATGGGAGACATACCGGAAGAAGGCACCGAAAGTGAAGTGTTGTCTTTAAGGCAACTTTTGTTAAACAACTGTCTTCATCCAGACATTCATTTGAGTCTCAACACATTGAGACTTTTTGAGGTTTCAATTTTTTTCATCCTATTTTTAAAATTGATATTTTATTGTGCTCTTCTTTTAAGACATGTCCTATACTTTTGCAGCTTTTACTTGAAAACTGTGATAATTACGTGCTTAATTGCTTAGTGTTGAGGTATCTTAACAAGCGAGCTTATTATGACACTTCATCACATCATGATAAAACTTGTATGGAGTCTTGGAGTGACGAGGAAGACGCAAGAGAGCGAGAGGGAACAAAAAGTAATCAAGGTACTTAATTCACCAGAACCAAAATGTATGGAAAGTTAATGCTGAATGCTATTGCTCAATCTACTTTCTGATTTTTATTCCTTCTTGCACAGGACAAGATTCTACTGGTTTATCAAGTCGCACCTTTGCACCCAGCAATATTCACAAAATCATTGATAGGTAAAATACAGTATAAAACCTTAAATAAGAAATTAGTTTTTCAAAAAATATCTCCACAGATTTTAACTTAAAATTTGTTTTAGTTTTTTACAGCTACTCCCAAGTAGCTTAAGATCAGCCACAGACTACCAAGAGAGTGGTTATCACCAATATATTGCTGAAGCACAGCGCCAGTACGCAACAAATATCCAAATTTGTTCTTCTATGGGGTGGGGCTCTGAAGCTACTTTTCCAGAAGAAGAGGATGAAACCGCCAACTCATCTACGAGCACTCAGCCTTTCGATGTAGGACCATTTCTCCAAATGATTTTTGAGAGATTAAGAGGATTGCCTAATCAGGTATTATCCTTGAGGGAATTTTGTATTTTTGTTTCAATATCTTAAAACTTGATTGCATAATACTTAATTAGTTTTCTTTTCTTTTTCCATTAGCCCTATGAGATGAACCTCCAACTCACCGCCCTTGTATCACGCTTAGCAATGCTTCCACACCCTTACCTGCATGAATTTTTATTAAATCCCCTTTTACCTATGGTCCCTGGTACAACATCTCTTTACTCAACACTCCAAGCTGTGGCTCGGGAAACGCAAACAGCCTTGGCTGCTATTCCCAACAGTAAGAAAATGCTTGTTAGAACTCGGCATGAGTTACTAGGAGACATGTCTTACCACCATGATTCAACAAGGTAATTAATAATTATACATCTCTTTGGAATGTTATTTCTTTAATTAACTACACATCAGTTTATGACAGCTTCAATTATTATTTCAGAGACGGCTCTTGTTTGTTTGAGAGTGTGGTCGTTCTTGAGGAATTTAACAAAGAATTGGCAGCTATTGCCTATGTGAAGTACCATCATTCTTCTTGAGTACACGACCCACCCGCTGCACCTGTTCCACATTGCCCTGCCTGTGCAGAGCGAATCCGGTCAGAACAGCGGGTGGATGATGAAGAAGACTTGGAAGAAGAACCTGAAACAGACCACCTGGAGGAATGGAACTGTGAATTACCCGAACGTCCCTCCCAACCCATGCCAATCCCTCCCCTTTCCGTTCCTGCTCATAACTATAGTTTAAGAGGTAGAATGTACCGTGTATGTTGCAGTGCACACCAAGATGCCTGCATTTGCTCGTGAACTTCTCTTTTTGATTATGTCAAATTGCAAAAAAGACGAGATTAATTTTTCTGTCCTTTATTAAACCAAGGGTGAATGCTCAGTTTACTCTCCATTTGGAAAACTTGAGATTCTAACTTAGAAGATAGATTATATTGTAATTGTGATTCAGAAAATATTCTATTCCATCTTTTATTTTAGTTAGTATAAATGGAATAGGTTTTAGTCATTTTATCTTCAAGAAACGTAAGGAATCGCGGTGGGGATTTTTTCTTACAACATCCTTACTGTTATTTTGAAGTAGTATGGATTTCTTTGGTTGAAGAAACATGGCACCTTTTAATTTCTTAAGTATGTATTGTGAAAATATTATGGTAACAAATGAGTAAGTCAAGTTTTGTTGTGAAGTATCACAAAAGTCAGGAAGATCCAACAACGCTTAGAAAATGTCACTTTTTATTTTCAATAATCAATTATAGCGGAAGAAGCCAACATTTCTGCACTTCTCTAGTTCTTGGATGTGTGTTTTGATTTAATCTTCAGGAATTGTTTGGATAGATTTCCTAGAATTTTTTAGGAACTTTTAAAATTGTACCATTTAATTGGGTTATTTGTGTATGTAATCATACCCATATTGTGATGGACGATTCTATGAGCTTTGGTTTCTTGTGATGACCATATGCAGTATTGTGATTGAAATAACTAGTCATTTGTCATGTTTCTTATATTTTTTTAGAGTATGTGGGAGAGATGCCGTGTGCTGTGTGAGTGTGTTTAACCAGTGTTAATTGTGAAAAAGGGCTGCCCTTTCATAAGTGACAATATATCCAAAGACCTTCTTGAGTTCTATGCCCCTGTGTTTTCTAAATATTCTCATGAATTAATTAGGGTATTTGAAAGTTCAAATGACTGGTGGTGTGTTTTAAACAAAGATTTGTCAAATAAGAAACTGTCTTTATCTTTTTTTTCTTTTTCTTTTTAATCATGCACAAAAATTGTTGCATGTTGATCTCCATACCATATACTATTCTCAATTGAAACCTTTTCAAGGAACTGATATGTGATGCTCTTGAGAGGAGCGGGAATGCCCTCGTATGGTGGTGCCCAGCCCATGTTAATCCCGTTCGAAAAGGGAATGGTTTGTACTTGTTCTGTTACCATCGCCACCTCTACTTAGTGTTGTGGAGAACGAGTTTTGTTCGCGGTGCAGTGTAGTTTAGAGGCCTCTTAACATCTCAGAACACATACAGCTAAAGTTTGTTAGTTGTTGTGAGTTTGTCGACGCTGACACCGTGACACCGGAAAGAGCTTACTGCGTTGCGAACAGTAGTGTTCTTAGGAGGTATCGTCTAGGAAGCACATCTGTATTTCTGATTCATTCAATCATTCGGCAAATTACGAGAGCTCGACGCCTGCGATCCTCGGGGTAGGCCACACCGCAGTACACGAATGCACAACGGGCAAGATGTTGCCTACCTACCAGGCGCCATGGACCTTCAACTCGGCAATTTCGGAACAGCATATGACGGACGCACTTTTTCGATGTTCCTAGCGCGATGATTCATGTTAAAGGAAGAGTTCATTCCTTAGCACGAACTTAATTAAGTGTTCTACGTCTCACTCGTTTTCAAAGAAAATGCAGCGAGGATGGAGTCCTGATGTGTGGAAGTGAAAAAACAATCTGACAGCCTACCACGCACCATAGGGTCAGTAAAGGGACCTTTTCGAAATGGAGATCATAACTCAAAATCTACACAATTATTAAACAGCTTAACAAAATAAAATATAATAAAAATAAATAAACAAGACCAGAGTTTCTCTTGACGCGCGGCGCCGCCGGTCACTGGAGCATCCGGCAGACGCAGGCGACGGGGAAGCGGGCCATCTTGAGTCGCGGGCAGGCGGCCGGCGCCTCGGGGTCCCAGGTGAGCACGGGCACCAGGGCGGTGCGCTGGTCGCAGGCCGTGGCGCGGGCGCCGTTGCGGAAGCCCAGGTTGCGGGCGCACTTGGAGTCGGCGAGGCGCGCGCACGCCCGCCCCGGCGCCGAGCACCGCTCCACCGACACCTTCTGGACGACGCGGCCGCGCGCCTGCAGCGCCACCAGCCAGCGCCCCGAGGACACGTCGCGGACGTAGCCCGGCCGCAGCGAGCGCCGCACCGACTGGCACGCCCCCTCGCCCTGCAACGGATGGGGGGTAAGTTTTTAGCAGATGATACATTTGTAACTGAAACTTTGAACACTTTACACAACTGAAATGAATAAGAATGATATGTCAAATGTGTCATTGCTTGTACTATCATGAAGCGGCGTGCAGAGAGACGCAAAGCGTGACGTCACCAGTAGAAGATATACCGGGGG